AATAATTTAATAGGAAAAAGCTAGTTAGGCAAGTAGGACATAAAGATAATCCATGTAATACCAGCCTTAGGACACAATATTGTCAAAGAAGCAGTGCTCTGGGAACTCATTTGTGAGAATATGAATTTTAATATTTTCTCACATATATTTTTAGTCATGTTTCAAATTATGACATAAAACCGAATTCAATGCGGTTTTTTAACTGTGTTGTGCTAAACTTACTTTTTTACATGTTGGAGAAATAACCACGGAAATAGGAAAGTTAGTTAGCCAAATAATACAATGGATAAAAGCTAGTTAGGCAGGTAGGATTATCATAAATCATAATACGTGTAATATCAGCCTTAGAACAAATTAAAGCCAACGATTTAGTTTGCAGCACAAAGTTAATTGGGGTGTGTGTTGTGCCTTGTCTTGATAAAGTGGCATAAGCGTAAATCATGAAAATAAAAAGGAATGTTATTGTATCTAGGGCACTTCCAGTGGTATATCGGTAGTGTGCCACTAGGATAAAACATAAGGTGGAGAAACTCATGACCCCGAGAAACCCCCCGGCGCTCCCCCTCCCCCCGCGGGGACGGAGCACCGCCGCTCTGCTCCGCTCCCTCCCCTCCTCCCCTCCCCCGTCGCCACCGCCGGCAGCGGCCATCGGCGGACTTCCCTTTCCCGTGTGCTTGGAGACGGAGGCGGGGCTCCTTCCTTCCCGGTGGCGGTGCTCCTAGGGCGGCTGCGGCTCAACGCGAGCGGGCCGAGGGGTCCCTGATGCGGTGGTGCAGGTGTCGCTTGCGGGACGTCATGGTGGTGCGGCTGGCCGACGGCGCCTGTGCGACCCAGATCTAGGCCCTTTGGGGCCCCATCTGGGTTGTTGCGGGTCGGCTGTCCTGCGTGCGCCATCGACGCTCCCTGGTGGTGGAGGTCGGCGTGCGGTGCTGTCAGCCAGCGTGCTGCAGCGCGGTGACGGGGCTTTGCGGGCCCGTTTTGAGCCTGGCCGGGCCAATAGGGGCCTGGTTTGCCCCGGTCGGTTGCCGCTGCGGCGGTGGAGGATGTTCCCTCCCGCGTGACCGCGGTCCTGCTCCCCCTGTCTTTGGTGTCCTCTTCTTCTTCTTCCTCTTGGCTCGTGTCGGTGTTCTCAGTGAGACGTCGAGGATGACTCCATGACCGTGGTGGCGCATGCTGGTGGGTGGACGGCTAGGTGGAGCTTGATGGAGCGTCTGGGGTGGTGGTGGTTGTTTGGGTCGGGAGAAATCCCTGGCGGCTTGTTCGTCACCGATGCGGTGATGCCTGCGGGCACCGTCGTTCCTTCCTGAAGGGCGTCGGGTTACCCCTTCCACACCGCCCTCCGCGTACCAGGGGAAAACCTAGAACTAGTCCGGGCAGTAGTAGCGTCGTCGTCACATTCCTTCTTGGAGGTGCTGCTCGGTACACGACACTTCGGAGTTCTAGGAGCACGATGGGACATCTCCGGAGGGCGCAGTGGTTGCCGGTCATCTTCGTTTCGTTGATCTGTCGGTGTTGTCATTTGTTTTCTTTTTCATTTCTCTTTTGTTTCCTCTGGGCTTTGATGTGTTGTGGCCCCAACAAGTTTGGTGTATCGGGTTGTTGCTTTATAATATAAAACGGAGGGAAACCCTTTATCATCTATAGAACATAAGGTGGAAGGAGATGTAATGGAGAGAGATATGAAGGTTTTATCTCGTGCAAGATATCACCAAATTATGAAAATCAATATACTTTATTATTGAGGACTGAAACCACTCACACCAACAATTATGCAATTATTTTAGGTACAACACACATAAACTATGCAATGGAAGGGTTGTACCACAATCTTGAAAGGAGAATGGACCAGAAAATAGCAGTACCAATATAAAGAAGAGAACCAATCGGCTTAGGCACTTCCCATAACCAAGACCCCAAAATTGGTGACATGTTCCAAGTTTGTTGTATCTATAACAGTTAAGAAATTAGTATTCATGGTTGCCATCACAACTAATTATCAGGATTGTACTGTAAGCACATAGGTCCACTAGTCATTGTACTGAGATCGCGCTGCATAGGATCTACCAAGGAACATGCAAAAGAAGAGACGACGGTATTTGTTGACCAAGTTTAGCCGAAGGCTACAACCCCAGAAAACCCTTGTACTGGCGCATCTCCCTTGGTAAATTGGTGTTATTGGATATCCTGATGAGCTCAAAAACCGTGGGAGCCGTCGGTCAGACCGCCCCCTCTCTGTCCAATCTTCATCGAGGGTTAGCTTACATGCAACTGTGTCCCTTAATATGTTTTATACAACAGTGCCTCATATTCTTGAGGCATGGATTACAACATGTTCGACTGAAGCAGTACCTAACCCTGCCGTTTATACTACCACAATTCCAATTATAGGTTAACCTACATATATTGGATACAATCTCAACAATAATATGTACATGCAAAAGATAGAATTCAGGATGGTTTATCCATTCACCTTTGTTATTCTCTCAAACTGAAGATTTGTTAATTTGTGTGATGTTACTACATTTCATAGTAGATGAGCTTTTTTAGACATCTCATATAACTATATACTACTCCCTCTACATCAAATATTATTTGAAGTTCTAGGTTTGTCCAAAATCAAACATTTTTATGTTTAGCCAAGTCTACAGAAAATGTATGAACATCTCGAACACCAAATTAGTTTCACTAGATTCATTATAATATTTGATGTTGTAGATCTTGTTGAAGTATATGTGGAATACCCAACCTTCTCCATCAGTTCAAACTTTTGGTTCTATGGGTTGGTGCTTGATACTTAATATGCTATCCGAGCCAAGATGTCTTGGGTTCATGTCTTAGCTTTCACAATTTAAATAAAATATTTTTGCCTTCTTTATGTCCACGTGCAGGACTTATCATCTAACACGTGAGATGGGGTGGTGAAGAATATTTGGCTTGCCTAACCTTCTCCCATCAGTTTGTACTTTTGGGTCTACTGGTTACTGGTTAGTGCTTGAAAATTACTCCCTCCGTAAAGAAATATAAGAGCATTTAGATCACTAAAGCAGTGATCTAAACACTCTTATCTCTACTACTATAATGTGTCGGTTTAAAATTTGGATTTACCACGTTTGTCTTGGCTTTCCCTCCAAAACAGCACTCGAGTGATTGCAGCCGTTGATTTGCCAAGATGGACTAACAGTGACCGTTCATCCATCATCAAAGCTAAGAATCCAACAGCTAGCGTGCGCTGGATTCGCCAGTCCTGTCACACACATCTGCCCCCGCAACACGTTGCGTGCCTGGGAGCTACGCGACATTTCCAGAAGCCCTGTCCGTTTGAGGACTTGTCACTTGTGGGCCGAGTGAATTTTTTGCCTGGCCCAGCCGGAGTGGATGTATCACTGCAACCAAGATTACATAGCAATATACCTCTAAAAAAGATTACGTACCAATATACCCAACCAAACCCCAAGCAACGTAGAAGAAAACTAAATCTGAAGCTTCACATTCTATTGCACACCATCTTTGCATTTTATATGATGAACGTTTCTTTAGTCCACTAAAGCATTTATTTTTAACTGGAGTTTACAAGTAAAACCAACTAATAGGAAAGTGCAATAACAAAAAACGTCAATAGTTGAGAGGTTAATTTGTGTAAACTGTACCATCAATGGACATTTCCATTCTTAAAGAAAACTGTACCATTCCATCAATGAATATCTTAGTTCTTAAACACAGGTTGAGACATCAAAAAGAAAATAACTTGTGTCTATATCAAACTCATTTAGCTTGACCTAGAACATGTTTTCCAGAAAAATCAATAGAGTAGATTCTGTTATCACAATTTCAGATTTCTTATGTACATATAATTTTATTGGTATTGGACATTTGGCAATTGGAATAGTCTGGAACTATTCAAGCTGTTTTTATTTGCATTTTCCAAAATTTATACAACAGTCATATTAATACCAAAATTTCACAAGAATATGCCAATTGTAAAGTTTATGAAAAAAAACTTATGCCTGATTTGAAAAATAACATTACTTCAGAATAAATTATTTGCTTGACCGTCTTATCTTTATATCTTACTATATAAGCATATTCAATTTCTGATAACAGTCGTATTACTCCCTCCCTTTTGGTTTAAAAGGTCCAATTCAAAAAACTCTCGAACCAAGGTAGATGGTGGGTGATGTAATAAACTTCATATTTTGTGAAAGTACTCAATTAGCGTACTCATTTTCCTCAAGAATGGAGTTCATCGACACGTTAATTTGAATTAACTGCAATGCATGCATGTGTGACCACTAAATGGCCAGAGACTTCTACATACATTTGTGAGTTTTCTTTTAATTCTTGCATGCAACGATTTAACGTGACTCGAAATCTAAAAAGGTGAACGAGAACAATAAAAACAAGACTTACAAAGCAAAAAAGGAAAAAAATGAGATAGACTTTTGAAACCGAATGAATGGAATATGTTTTTATATGCCTCTCAACGTGCAGAGCACGGGCTACTTACTACTGTTAGTTTACAGAGGGAGTAAGAGATATTAGCAGATTTTTTTCCTGTAGACTTGGTCAAATATAGACATGTTTGACTAAGGATAAAACTAGTACTTCAAATAAACGGAGTGAGTATATAGTATATGGCGTTTCGCGCTTGCTACTCTAATCTAACGTGTGCACTACCATAGTAGATAATGTTCTCTACTCTTTATGCAGGGAAACTTTCAACATCAGTTTTTAGTATTCCCACATTGCAACGCCTAGATTTTCACTCAAACCAGCTCTCTGGTTTTATACAAGACTTCAATGCAACGTCTTCACACTTGGTTTCAGTGGACTTAAGCACAAACGAATTGACAGGGAATATTCCCAAGTCATTCTTTCAACTAAAAAATTTGGCATACCTCGATATTGGCTCGAACTACTTGGTGGGTTCGTTGGATCTTTCCTCGTTTTGGAGGTTGGGAAATCTTGTTCATTTAAGTCTTTCCCACAACAATCTATCAGTCATGGACATGGATGGAGAAGGTAACAACTCTCTGTCTACCTATCTCCCTCGAGTTACCAAGTTAGAATTAGCGAGTTGCAATTTAACAGGATTTCCAAGTTTATTGGAACACGTTAAGCAAGTGTCTTACTTGGACTTGTCATGCAATAGAATCAGTGGGGCTGTTCCGAAGCTGGTATGGGTGACATGGAACAACAGCCTTACATATTTGAATCTTTCACACAACATGCTCAGCACTATGCAAGTTACTTCATTTGTTCTCCCTTTCGATAAGTTGGAGGTTATTGATCTTAGTTCCAACCAGCTTCAGGGGCAGATTCCTATGCCAAGCTGGTCAGTGTACTTCGATTGTTCAAACAATAGTTTCTCTTCAGTGCTTCCAAACTTCACTCTCTATCTTGGCGATGAGTTCAGAATTTCTAAAAACAATATCAGTGGACATATACCAAACTCAATTTGTGATTCACGGATCAGTGTCCTTGACCTGTCATTTAACAGCTTCAGCGGGCAGATACCTTCGTGTCTAATAGAAGATGGTTACACTAGCGTGTTGAGTTTGCGGGAGAATCAATTTGAAGGTGTGTTGCCTAACAACATCAAAGACCAATGTATGCTTCACACATTAGACTTGAACGGCAATAAGATTGAAGGGAAGCTTCCAATGACACTTACCAAGTGCTGGCAGCTAGTGCTCCTTGACGTTGGAAATAATAACATGGTGGGTGCTTTTCCATCATGGCTGGGGCTACTTCCCGAACTTCGTATCCTTGTCTTGAGATCCAACCGATTCTATGGCTCGGTGGGTGGTGATCTTCACAGCAGTGAAAAATATGGAGAATACTTCTCTAGCTTGCAGATTCTGGATCTTGCCTCGAACAATTTCTCCGGTAATTTGAGTCCAGATTGGTTTGAGGGGCTGAAATCAATGATGTCAGAGTTGAACACAACAGGTCGTATTATTAGTAGTTTTAACGGAAGTATGGAACATCCCTATCAGGATTCTGTTGCTATATACTATAAAAGCATCTACAGGACATTTGATAAGATCTTGACCACTTTAACAGTCATTGACCTATCAAATAATTCATTGGATGGCACCATTCCGGGATCGCTTGGGAGGCTTATTTCGTTACATGTACTAAACATGTCAGGGAATGCCATCACGGGTGATATTCCGCAGGAATTTGGCGGGATGACTCAACTAGAATCTCTCGACCTGTCTCAGAACCAGCTTTCTGGTGATATTCCGGAGGCGCTAACAAATCTCACCTTTCTTGGTATCTTGAACTTGTGCAACAACCAGTTGGTGGGAAGGATACCTCGCTCAGGTCAATTTGCGACGTTCCAAAACAGTTCATTTGAGGGAAATATGGGGCTGTGTGGACTGCCATTGTCCAACCCATGCAGCAATTCACCTACTCCTCCAAGTGCAGTGCATGGGGAGAAGTCCTTTCATGTGGACGTCATCTTGTTTCTCTTCGTCGGGCTGGGCTTTGGTATCGGATTTGCAGCTGCCATCCTGATAAGATGGGGTCGGATTCGCAAATGGTTTGTTAAATCTGCAAGAGCTTTGAGGACTTGATCTGAACACTGGAGATTGCTTCAACCGTTGCTGCTAGTGATGAGTGTGCAATGCTTTTTAAGTATTATTATTAAGCCTTTGCTAGGTCTTATCCTCTGCAGTGTGTACTTATCTGTAATATATTGATTGGCCAAGCGGCTAAACATATTGTAGTGTATCCCCTGCGATCTCCAGGTTTAGACGTCCTGTGTAGGTTTAACTTGGAGACAAATCTTGTAACCACTTTGTAATCTTATTCAACTATAAATGAACTCCACGCGGCCTGAGAAGGGTTATACCCTAAACCCATCACATCTGATTTCCTTTATATACTAGACTAGAGTAGCTTCTTGCGGAAATGCAATTCGGCTCCCAGGTCCAGATGATCCTGAAATCTGGACCGCCCCTTCTCATCGCGATGCGTGCCTTGGTGTGTATTCCACGTGTTTTCAGAACTACACCTCCCCTACTCTAGCTTGTGCAAGAAATTTCTAAATCTCTACTGTCAGTCTATCATTCAGTCACACTGAAGAACCCCCAAATCTCACAGTAAATTCCACCAGGCAAAGTTTATCTGCGTTGGCTTTTCGTCCAGCTAGGCGCCTGTTGATCCATCTTCCACGTTGATTGAGCCAATGCTTCGTAATTATCGTGAATCAAAGCTAACTGCTCGCCACCAATTGCATCTCCGACTGCAGCGGCAGACGAGGCGTGCCCATTGTCAGCTGTGCGGAGCAATCGAATCATGGCTGGGCACTCGCACCCAACAGGACCTGCAGTTTTCTGATTTTTGGCTTCCCCTGCAATTAGAACAAGCACTACATCGTTAAACAGCAGAGCCCCATATGCACCAATAGGAAATTGAGTTACCGCTTCAGCTTTTTAAAGAACACTTACAGAGCATCCACAGACAACTTCCTGCATACACTTCTTCTCAACGTTAAGCCTACTTTCCCCATATCTGATGGCAAAACCATGCTTCCATGAATGAAGAATATAAAAATCGTTGGTTTCCCCCGGATATGTTGAAGTTGCTAGGCTCTTCATCACCACCATGCCTTGTAGATCCACAGACATGAACAGGAGCAGCATCAAGCTCGTCGACCAAAGCTGCACACACGAGTCAAAATAAATCCCAAGTTAGACCATTTGGTCCTCTAGAAACTACACAGTGGGGAATGGAGCAACTGGTAACGTTAGTGAAACTGCCAAAACCATTACCACGATCAGCTGTGTTTGCACGGGAAGCAACTACCATGCACACCTTCAGCACTTGCAATGCGTGAGGCGCTCCCACTTCCATCTGCATTTTTTTTCATTGCTTTTACTTTGTTAGGCACTCACATATGCTAGTTGCAGAAAAAAAAAATTATAGTCCATATCAGGGAATTGTGGTGCCATGCTCACAGCATCAGGGTATAGTCTGCTTCCAAAGCAGAACTGTAGTTTTTTTATTATCAACTACGACAATTATGTCCACAGGACAGCTTCCATTCCTTTTTTGCTCACTTAACCATGATCCAATAAACCAACATACATTTTTTCCATAGTGAACAGTGCACCATACATTATACCAAAATCATCACAACTACGGTTGCAAGAGAAAAAAATTCAGTTGTACAACAACAAAAACCAATTACCTTTTTGTCCATCCATGTGTTTGGGGATCCACCTTCCCCGTAGATTGAGCCGAGCCTCCATCGCCACTTTCTGTTTGATCTTGAATCACAGCGTCATGGCCTTCAACGCCGCCGTGTTCAATGGCATCGGCGTTGTCACCCTCATTCTCACTGAAACCGGACATGGCAGGGGCGCAGGCAGCTACACTGGTTTCCTCGCCATACATAGCAGCACCAACGGACTGCCCAGGTGAGCTCAACCCAAATCCACATACGACCGCCCCGCCCGATCCATTGGCGGACTCTTCTTCCCCACGACCACAGCCACCAATCAACTCCATTAGGGCTGCCGCGCTACAGCCCTCATCAGGAAAGATGGGCAACCTGCGTGTCTTCAATCGAAGCTCTAAGCTTTTCCTGATGTTGGATTGCAAATAGGAACAAAGAACATTTTTGCACAAAGAGGGATTTTTTACCTGTCGACCGGAGAGACGGGGAAATCCATCGCCATGGCTGCGCCACCTCTAATCGGAGACCCACGCGAGTATAAAAGCAGTTCGGGAGAAACCCGCCGACGCACCCGCCGCCGCCGCCGATGTTTTTCCCTCGATCCCCTTTCTTCTCAAACAGCGCCGAGGCTGCTGGATGGGGATGCATTCATTTTTGGCCTCGTCTACCTTGTGGTTCCAGCTGACAAGTGGGTCCAGCTAACGCCCTGTAACGAACAGATGCACACGGCGCGGGCGCGCGGCTGTAACCCCAGACGGCTCCGCGCTAGCCACCGTTAACGGCGACTCCACGGACGTTTCCAACGGTCGCCTGATGCTATACGTACAGATGTATTCCCCTATTATTTGGTTTTCGTATAGCAACTTCAATAATTTCCGGCACAGATCTCACAGCTCACCTGGACGGGCCAGATATCAGGTTCACCTGGACCTGGGAGCCAAAACGCCCCTCCCCTTCTTGTGGCAACTTGTTGTGTGTGAAACATAGTTGGCTCCTTACATAGTGTTTATGATTCATTTTGACTGCAGAACCCCCAGCTGCAAAGCATAGCTCATCCCCAGCTCCCTGGTAGTTTTGTGTATGTTTCAAACTTCTTGATTCCACATGATCCATTTTCACCCCTCCGATCCATATTAATTGACGCTGCTTTAGTACAACTTTAGTATGTGGTTTCGAACCTCGAGCTATACTTCGAATTCTAATACCGTCTTGAACATCACTTTATCCACATGATTATATTAAAGT